TAAAATCATACGAGGACAAATCAGGAGCCGCCAGCGGATGCGATGATCGGACTCGCAGGACGCCACGACCGAGGCTCCCGGGCCCGGCGGTGGGGCCGCCGCGAGGCGCTCTCAGACGGTCGGCCGGCCCTAGTAGGCCCCGCCGCGGGCACGGCGGCGGCGCCGAAGGCCGGGCCGCCGCGGCCCCGGGCGCGGCGCGGCGGCACCCCGGCGACCGTCGGAGTCTCGGATTCACAGTCGGATCACAACTCAGTGACTGTTCCCCGGGAAGTTCGGCTACTCCCGAGTGCCAGGCCGCGGCCGGGCCCCGGCCAGACTCTCAGGGCCGGCGAGGCTCGGCATTCAAAACCGACTCGGATCGGACCCGGCCGCTCGTACCGTACTCCGGGCCGCGGCAGTACGGTAACGTACGGTAGTACTAACTAAAAGAGCTGACCGTTTCTAGCCGTTATTCGGATCTCCTTGAAAATCCACGGAAATAGCTTCAATAATGCGACATGGAGGGAGGGGAGGAAGAGGAGGGAGGAGAGGAATGCAGAGAGGGGTGAAGAAGGCGAGGACGTGCAGAGGAAGAATCAACATGAGAGACTGCGGCAGGAGGAAGGTCATTGAACAGGGAAGATAGGGTCGCAAGTTGCGAGATGAGATGAGTTTCGCTGTTGTGACAGAAATTGAACTAGGCGGAGTCCAGAGCATTGCCAAGGCAAAGGAGGAAGAGAAGAAGGAGGAGCGAATCTTGCTTGAGGTTTGAAATGTCTGGATCCTCGTTTGCAATCATCTTGTTGCTGATCACAAGGCACAGGAGGAAATGGCCTCCGCGTATTGAATTTCCGTTTATCATGTCGAACATCAACCTCCCTCAAGCTCTCCTCATCTGTTGTGCCATAACCTTGCTCTCCGCGGCATCTTCACATGTGAGTTGTGATCATGGACAGCATGGTGGCTCAACCTTTGCAGGCTGCGGAGAAGAGAGGGCATGACCAGCCATACAGTCACACTGCCGATCATTCGCACGCCATGGAGGTGGGGCATGCTTCGAAATGCCTTGCGACTCTGCTCCTGCTATGAGATGATGTTACTCCTGCTATGAGATGATGTCGCTCCTGCTATGAGATGATGTCGCTCCTGCTATGAGATGATGTTGCTCCTGCTATGAGATGATGTTTTTCTCAGGCTGTAGATGAGGGGCTGGGAGGGTCGAGCAGTTTCTTCGCAGGTACGTCAAGGTTTTGCGGATGGTGTTTGGTGACTAGCTGGTATGTGATAGGGCTGGTTCGAACGAGTGAGAGGTTGAGGGAAGTGGAATCGAAGAAAGGTGAGGATGCCGATGTGTTGAATCTGCTGTGTGAGAGCTCACGGCTGGCATCTTCATGGATGCCCTCGCTCGATAGCCTTGATTGAAGACGTTGCAGGAGAGGAGAACAATGCACAGCTCCTTGCACAGATGAAGAAAGCAAGACAGAGGCAGTTAGACAAAGAGGTGCGTGTGTTGTAGTGTTGTTTGACAACCTTACCTTCCTTGACTTGGCTACCAGGTTCAATCAGATTACTCTTGGGACCTTGCGGATGAAATTAACGATTCTAAGATCGCGCCTTCAGACTCTGTAAGAATTTGCGACGATGAGCGTTGTTGTGTTGTACAAGCTTTTCCTCACTGATGTTTCAGGAAGCTCCGACGGAATCAAGAGGACGAGGTAGCCGCTCGGCGGATGAAGTGTTTTGGAGCTATCGGTGAGATTGATCAAATTCTGCTCCAAAGTTTGAATCTCTCGAATGTTCTCTTTGAAATGTTTCTCGCGAAACCTCAATTCTGATCTCTACTACGTATGCAGAGGCGAGCATGGTCCGCAATCATGGGGGTCAAGTTTTCCAAAATGTTCTCAAGGTGCAGAGATGATGATGATGATGATGATGATGATGATGATGATGATGATGATGATGATGATGATGATGATGATGATGATGATGATGATGATGATGATGATGATGATGATGATGATGATGATGATGATGATGATGATGATGATGATGATGATGATGATTATGATGATGCTGATGATGATGATTATGATGATGATGATGATGATGATGATCAAGAAGATGGAGATGGAGATGATGATGATGGAGCACAGGCAAAAAGCAATCTCCGATTGACATACAAACGAGGGATCCGTACATGAAGGCAGAAGATATCTTCAACATCGCAGGTTTTTACGTTCAACTCAAATATCCTGCGATTCTGATGGACTTTTCGTCTTGGCAGAACTGAAATGGCAGTTTCCTGCCAATGAAAATACAAAGAGTGAGAGAGGGGAACAAGAAGGACGCAAGTATGAGCGACCTCAGCCGCTGTTTATTCACCTCCCCGTCAACAGCAGGTTTCAGGTGATGTGATAGTGTTGGAGGTGTGAGGGCAGTGAATGACAGAAACAAGATGGTGGCGTGAGATACTTGTGTGATGTGTTGATTCCTGTTGTCTTGGGTTGTAAGAAGGATTGTACAATCAGAAGTGTTTTATTTGAGATAACGTTTTGTTGAGAAGGAGTTAGGAAGTTGAGTGCTGTGGTACTCCCCTGACATGTAGTTGTGTCTGCAGAATTTGAAGCCCAGGAGAAAATTGCTTGCAATGGAATTATTCAATGGACACGCATTTGAGGTAGGATCGATGTCTTTCCCCTCCGCTTCCTCCTGCTCCTGCTCCTGCTCCTGCTCCTGCTCCTGCTCCTGCTCCTGCTCCTGCTCCTGCTCCTGCTCCTGCTCCTGCTCCTGCTCCTGCTCCTGCTCCTGCTCCTGCTCCTGCTCCTGCTCCTGCTCCTGCTCCTGCTCCTGCTCCTGCTCCTGCTCCTGCTCCTGCTCCTGCTCCTGCTCCTCAACCACCTAATATCCTATTGAATCTCTTCCTCCCTCGATTTTCTCTCCCCTGACCTTCTCCATCTCTCACTCTCTCCTTGGATTGATTTCCTCGCGCAGGTAGAGAGACTCGGAGAGGAGAAACTCTACATCGAGGGAGCAGCGTATGACCTGCGGTGAAGTAGACTTGACTCTCTCGTGCTCGCTGAAAGTTGAACTCCAGGGAATTCATCACGCATACACCAAGTGAGCACTGGGTAGACGGGAAAGGATTCGACCTTGAGGTCTGTCGTGTTTGTTTGTCATTGGAGCTGATGTACATGTCAGATACAACTCGTGCATGTGTTGGACATGTCAGACTACCAGCAGCCCCGTTCCTCTTCCAACAGCCTCTACGTCATCGTCTCTCTGCTCTTCTCAGCAGGTGAGGACTAGCAGGAAGAAGAAGGGGAGGAAGAAGGGGAGGAAGGAGAGAGCAGGAGGGGAGGATGTAGAAGGAGTGGAGGAGGGAGCGGAGGTAGGAAGAGGGGAGGAGGAAGGGAGAAGGAGGGGAGGAGGTAAAAGAGGTAGGAGGACGGCAGCAGGGAGGGAGGAGGATGGAAGGAGGGAGGATCAGATCAGAGGGGGACAGCATTGAAGGTACTCTCAACTGACCTCTTTCCCCCGTCAGCGGCTGAGGGCGACTGTCCGCCATTCCTCTTCAAGCTTGCCGACGCTCTTCCTGTACCTGCTGCACTGAAACCCTTCGCGCTTGCTGACTTGACCAAGAAAACATCCGAGCAGCCGAGGAAACTGATAGACTCCTTGTCGTTCAAGGAGGTTGGAATCCTCGTCCTCCTCGTCCTCGTCCTCGTCCTCGTCCTCCTCGTCCTCGTCCTCCTCGTCCTTCCCTCCCTTTCTTCTCCTAGTCTGCTCTCCTAGCTCTTATTCTTCTCGCCGCCTCATCTCTTCGTTCTTCTCTCTCGTTCTCTTTCGCTCGTCTCTTGCCTTCGGTCTTACTCTTTCTCAGATTGCAAGCGAGCTCGGCCCCTACCTCCGATCTTACTTTCGATATGAAGGAAGCCTGACAACTGTTAGTCTCCCTCCCTCCCTCCTCTCCCTCCCTCCTCTCCCTCCCTCCCTCCCTCCCTCCCTCCTCTCCCTTCCTCCCTCCCT